CATCTCAGTGTGCCCCAAGGGCTGGGCCAGCACAGTAGGCCCAGGGATCGAAGCCCTGGACCCTGCACCTGCTTGCATCTGCTTTCTGTTTCCCCAGCTATAAACTGACTATGTCACAGAGGGACCACGGGCCGGCCACACAGAGACACAGAAACCAGGTGACCTGGTATCATCTCTCCCTGCACAATTTGGGGACACTGGCCTAACTTAGCACTTCCTGGAGGTGACTCTGACCTGCCCAGCTTAGAGACAGGTCCTGTCCTGGGACCTCGGGACCATGTGGTACCTAAGGGTGGAGGGACTGAGTGGGCTGTGTCCCCATCCAGCAGGACTCACCTTGTGTGTCATTGTACTCGGCTGAGTCTGGGCAGAGGTTGTTCAGATAGTCTGGGATAGAAGGAGCCAGGAGTCAGTGTGTCCCATCCACAGTGTGGTCCCTGTCACCATCCACCCACCATGAGCCCAGGCCACCACTGCTGGCCACTCGCTCACTACACGGTGTCTACTGGCTCTGCTGTGCCCATACTGGAGGACTCAAAGGGGCAGAGATGAAAAACTGCTGCCCACCTCTCATCTTGTTCCATTCACACTGGCTCTCAAATGTCCCCATCCCAGGCCCTTAGCATCTGTTTCGTTCTACCAGAACCCTCTCCTGGATCTCTCTGAGTTCCTTCCTGAGACCTGCTCAGTGCCACCTCCTCAGGGAGCATCTCTGCCTGACGTGTCCAGTGTGGGCGCCTGAGTCCTGTTCCCAACCCAGCTGGCTTTCCTTGCATCCTCAATACTGACGTGACACTGTTCAGGCACAGCTCTAGGTCCAGTACCAATCTGGACTGGGCACATAGTAGGTGCTTAACAAATATAAATGGAACCATGAATGAGTCCCCTGTGCCTATCACAGTCTTGGGAATGGCATGTACATCCCATGTGGGCCTTGGCCTGTTCATTGGGGCAGGTCTCTTTGATCATATGGAGGTGGCCGGCGAGTGGATCTAGAGTCCAGCATGAGGTGGGCATCTGGGAGGTAGAGTGGGGACAGTGGTAGGCAGGGAAGGGGAGAACCCCCACCCCCATGTCCCTGTGCCCACCTGTGAGGAGGGCGTGGTACTGGAACGGGCGCCGCACCACTGCCAGCAGCTGCTGCTTCACCCGCTGGCCACCCTGCTGCTGTCAGGAGGGAGCAGGAGTCAGATGCCCCGCCCACACTCCCTCCTGAATCCCAAGCCAGGCCCTGCTGTGACCCTTCAACAGCCACCCCTGGTCCCCTCTCCTTGTACCAAGAACAGCTTTCCTGCCTGGGAACTGGGCCCCCATGGTGGCCACTGGGGTGATTTCCCTGTCTAGGCAGGAAAAGAGTCCCTAAGACCCTCCCAAGATTTGGGGCTCCCTCCGGGGGCCACCTGCCCACATTTCTGGCAAGATCCCTGCTTTCCCCTAGGGACCTACCTCGAAGTCATAGACAACAGCGGCCAGGTGGGGACAGCGGGCACAGGTCTGGGAAAGCAGAGCCAGGCTTTGGTCAAAGTGCAGAATCAGTGCCGCGTGGTGGTCAAACTCCTGCTCACGGGCCAGGAAGATGCCAGCCACCCTAGATGGGCCCTCCCTGTGCGGGGATGGGACAGGGAGGTGAATGTAGTGGGGATTCAGCCTGGGTCCCACCCCCACTGCACAGCTGGCTCCCTCTGTGCCACCCGTGTGTCTCCTCAAGCCTGTGAGAGCGTGGACGCACCCATCGCCCAGCCTCTGCTCCAGCTCCTGCAGGATGCATTGATGCAGTGAGTGGATGGCAGGCAGCTCGTCCAGGCCCTGCCGCAACTCGTCCCGCGTCTGTGTGTCCTCCACACTGTCCAGGGCCCTTGTGACAGCCGCATGGAAATCCTGAAACATGGAAACCGGTGACCTACAGCCGCAGCTGCCCCAGCCTCAGAGCAGGGGCACACACAGCAGCAACCCAGCCCCATGTGCCCACCTGCAGACACACACCCACCCAGACCTGTCCTGCCCTGTGCCTAGTGACCTGGAGAGCACTCTCCTTTGACAAGAGGGTGAGAAACTGGTAATTCCTTCTCTAAAGACACATACTTCTTGCTTTCAGTTTACCACTTTTCTCTCTTTCTGTTCTAGGGACTAAACCCAGGGCCTTCCCACTGAACTACAGCCGCCACCCTTTTTCTAATTTAGCAACAGGATCTTGTTTAGTTGCCCATGCTGGGCTTGAAATTGCCATCCTCCTGCCTCAGCCTCCCAAGCCCAGCTACAGAGCCTTCATGTGACAGAGGAGGAGAATAAGTCAAGGGTCACCTGCTTAGAGGAGGAAGGCCCAGGGTGAGCAGGAGAGGGAGGGAGGAGAGTGGCAGCACTGGGGGCTGTGTTTGCATCTCATTAAGTGAGTGGGTAATGACTGCTGTGCAGGCAGCAGGCAGCAAGCAGCTTCTGGCTCCCATCTGCCATCGATCCTCCTGCCATCCACCGGGCCGAAGGCAGTGCAGTTGTCAGTGAGGAGATACCAGGGAGTGTGCAATCAGATGGGTCCCACATCAGTGCCCAGCATGGCAGGAGCCCCTGCCTCCGCCACCATGTGCCCCACTCAGTCCTGAATCTCCATCAGCTCAGCACTGGCACCGAGGACGGGGTGAAGAGGAGACACAGCTCTCCTCTCCAGGGCTCAGCTTGCTCAGGAAAGAGGTGGGGGAGGGTTTTGGGCAAGGCTGTGCTGGGGGCAGTGTCCAAAGCAAAGCAGAGGAGCTGAGGGGCTCGGCCAGGGGGACAGCACAGGCGAGAGATGCTCAGGCTGAGACAGGACAGCACCCAGCGGGGCTGAGGGGCAGGAGTTGCTGAGGAGCTGAGTGTGAGGTGGGCGATGTGTGTCCTCACACACTTGCATGTGTGCACCTGCGTACATTCAGGAGAGGTACTGGCAGGACTAATCACAGTGCCCAACACTTCCCCAGTCATTCTTGTGGTCCGACCCTACCTCATAGGCCTGCAGGTCAGGGACGAGATGTCCCAAGAGCCCCTTCCCCAGGAGCGTTGCCTGTGTGACAGGGACACATCACTCTGTCTTCACCCCCCTCTGCTCATGCTGGTGACACACACACCTGCCCCAGGTGTGCAGACCACAAGGCTGGCCAGGCTGTGCTTCAGG